GTAATCTGTAAAAATTACATAGAATCATTTTTGGTTTCTTTCCAACGAATTGTATATTTTTCCCCAGTGCCATTTGGAAATATTAGTTGAACCAGTTCAACCGATTGGAAAACCAGTGTTGGACCAGTTCATCCAGTTGGAAAAACCAGTTGGATAAGTTCAGTCAGTTTGAAAGAACATTTGGACTAGTTTAACCAGTTAGAAAAGCCAGTTGGACCAGTTCAACCAATTAGAAAATCAATTTGACCATCTGGAAAGACCAAGAGGCCAGATGAAATCCAGTTGAACTAGTTACAAACCAGTTGGGCCAGTTGAAAACAAATTGTACCAGTTAACATTTCTAACTGGTTTCGACTGGATTTTTACCTTGAATTTTATACTTAGAATATTATATTAGGAACCGTTCTGGATTTATAGATCTTACTGGTAGTGTAACTACCGCAGGTTCAACAAGTTCGTTGAACCTGGGCCACCGAGCTTTAGAGGGCCCGATCTATAAAAATATTTAATAAATCAATTAAATGTTTTATTATGACATTGGACTATTGTATCTGCTAGCTTCCAGCGAGTGGCATAACGCTGGGGCCGGGGGCCCTGTGGCTTTCACAGACCAGGGCCAGTTTTGGCTCTAACTGAAATCACGTCCCGTTATACATGTGAGGGATAATCAGGGCCGTCGGAACCGAAGCGGTTGGCCCAACGGCGTAGCTGGGTGCGAAAGGGCCCAGTGCATGACAAATTGAAGGGCCCTTTTTGATGTGATAGGGGAATTCCATAAAGTTCTCAGAAATTTCATCATGAGAAGTGCTCCTTTTACCCCTAAAGGCCTGGGCTAGTAATACACACTAATATTGGATTCGTAACTATTTTAAGAGAGGCAAATTCGGTCTCAGCAGCTGTTTTAAACAAAGGAAGAAAATGTGTGGCACATAAAATTTAACAATTGCAGTGTGTTACTCGAACTATATTGTATTCATCAATTTGTAGGTCTATTTTTAAATATAATGATAGCATATTGCATCATCTGTATTCGTAACACATGTTTTATTTTCCATATTGTTCATGTTTCACGATACCCTGCACGTTGTGTAATTATAGTAGGCAGTTATTAATTGTACAATATTATAGTGTCTTAAATAATGCACAGCGTATTGTACACCTGTGTATTCATAACAGAAGGTTTTATTTTAATTAGGCCTACGTAATTTTATACGTTATATATTTCACAATACCCGTCAACTCCTGTGAATATAATATTAAGCCTATAAATGAACATTACACACACCATAGAGAAAATAGAACAGCACACACCCGCTCCAGGCGACCAAGTCAGCTATGTGAATCTCTTCGGTCTGCTGTAAAAAAGCATGCTCTGATTGAGGTCTTTAGGCCTGTACGGGCACTATCACTACCATAAAATATATTTAAGCAAAATTACAAGGCTGGAGGTAAAAGACACTTGATATGTAGAGACATCGCAAAGAAAAAAAAATGTTTTTTCTTGCTTTTAAATAAGCCGAGAAAATATTCGAAAAACAGTAAATAAAAAAAAAAAAAAAAAAAAAAAGAGAAAACCCCAAAGCATGTGCGATTTAAAGCAATTATCTGTCTGGGATGAAGAAAAGGTTTATTTAATAATGTAATTCTTATTTTATTTAGTATTAGCACTTTTTTTAAATGGACCATTTTAAAATGTGTTTGGCTGCAATATTTATCGGATAAGTGTTTTGCATGATCAATGTCATACAGAGTCTAATGATGTCAGGTGTGATCCATTTTATTTTATTTAGTTTAAGTACATAAAACTAATATACAATATATAATATATAATATAATATATATATATTGTTGACATTGTTCAATGATCAACCGATAAATAAAAAACACCAATTTAATAAATTTCGAATATGCTTTTTCATTTGGTCATAAGAAGAGAAATGCTAATTATTATTGTCCAGCACTTTGGGAACGTCTAAAAATAAAAAAATAAAAAAACATCGAAAGATTTATTGTCAAAATAGTAAAAAAAATAGGGACCCTGCTTTTAAACTAACCCAGCGGTCGTACACATCTTAGCTGACATGGAACGTCAATTTGCATGCGTCAAGGGCCCTGACTGTACTTTGAACCAGGGCCCCTCACAACCTAGTTACGCTACTGGACCTTACTGCAGAATACGACGCTATGTGGCACTGGGCGTGTGACATATAACATATCAAGTAACATATAATATAAATCCAAGGTATCAATTATATATTAGATCTCTATAGTTGCCGAAAATCGCTGATAAAAGATCATGTAAAATTTTTTGCCGCTTCATTTTGGCTATGGTATAAATTGTGATGTGACGATGATTAATTTTACTACAAGTACCTTTTCTGCCAATCTAGAGGACGTACCGGTTTCTCAAAATTCTCGCACCTCATCCCCAACATGGTGGACTCACGAAATATCCCCCAGGGGCGTAGGCTCGGGTGTACTTTTGTTGGCCAAATCGAGTTCTCAGTGCCGTTAAAAGATAAACATTAAACATGCAATTTACTATAATCGCGTCGTTTTCAAATAATTTCTAAGCTAAATTGTTGATTATTTCCTCTCCATGTATTGTGTGGTAATCAAGGTTATTTGTAACTATTTGCGCTGCTTTTTTTTTTTGTAATCTATGAATTATTGTTTTATTTTTAATGCTGGTGTTTCCCCAGACTAAAATGAAATTTAAATGAGTACATTTCAATTTGTTTGTTCAAAACTAATCAGATTCTTAAGAAATTTTAAGAATTGGGAACTTACTCGATGCAGGGAATGGCACTTTAATATTTAAAATTCATGTTCGTTACTTTTTAACATTAAATTAAAAAGGGGCACTTTATTTTTTTTCAACCTCTGAAAGGGAGGGGTGGGGGTACACAGGCATCCAGCAATATCTTCCTTGTCTCTCTCTTTTTATCGGGCAAATGATGAGCAAAGTTATAACTGTTTTATGACTGTTCTGTTCTCAACAAATATCTGTTTCCCATAAGTTGTGGGAAGTACTGCCACTGTGTGTTTAGATTCTTTACTAGATGCTCGATGTATGGGAAGTAGGGGCCGTCCTTGTTTCTTTTTCCAATGGGTTGGTTCCCAGAGTGCATTTCCGGCCACATCTAGAGGCAACGTAATCTATAATTTTTGTGAAGGTCCCTCTCTGGGCACAATCTATATCGAATTTCTGGATCCGCATCTGCAAGAACCACCCCATCATTTTTTTTATTTCGGAAATATGTTTATATAGAATAGCTTTAAAAAGACAAAATTTAGATTAAAAAAAGTGTTAATAGAAATATAGACGACTTAATTTTCTTCTTAAACTTTGACGAAAAACTTGGTTAAAGATAAAAAGCGGTTAATTAGATTTTTGAATAGGGCCTATTTAAAAAATTTCTTGGAAAAATATGAAAAATGGGTTAGATCGTTGGAATTAACAAATATCATTGATGTTTGCCTCAAACTCTGTCCGAGCAAAAAAAAAAAAAAAATGTATAAAAAATAACCTTAAACAACATTTTTTCTGTACAGTACAGATCATATAGCATACAGTACTGAGGAAATGTATAGATGTACCGAAAAGATGTTCCACCCCCTGTGCAGAAATTATGGTTATTATTGCCCCTGCCTTAACAGCGAGTAGAATGGCCGATGTGTTATGTTTTATAAATGTGTAGTGTAGTGTAAGTCAATAAAATAAATATTGCAGGCCTACTACTGTACCTTATTATCATGGTTGTTGTTGAATAATATCTACACATTTCGTTGATCTTTTGCCAATGCATTATATGCCACATTTTGAATAAGGGTAGGCCCTATTGGAGTATCTCCACTGTAAAATAGGCACAGTTAGCTTTATTGTCATCATATTATATTACCTTCATTAATATTGTATAAACAATCTTAATAAATTTATCAAACTCATTGTTGAAGGCAGCAAAGTGAGAGAAATATCAAGAGTATTCGAAGATGTATTGTCCCATCCAAAATACAAAGCATTATCATAAAAATCATGTTTTAAATTGGACTTGCTCATTTTGACATAACAATTATCAATTTGAACATATTAAACAAAAATGTTTACTGTTTATTTACTGCTTTATTGTCATTATCAGGATACACATATTTTTAATTTAATTAATTTCTATGCTCAATTTAATTTGTATGCTACTGCAAAATAAGCATGGTTTGTTAATAATTTTTTTTTCTTTTTCAGGGGACAATACATCTTTAATAAATCATTGCTTTCTGTCCACACCACCAAATTTTTATGTGGCAAAAACCCACTGATCTCTACTATAATAGCTGGATTGCTCATTGGCTGGTTTGAGTGAGGCCACCGACGCCATGTTGGGGGCGGGGGGCCTAAGTGACGTATTCTAATTGACGTATCAGTTGTTCAATTTGTTTAAATTATTGTTAAAAATAACGATTTTTGCAAAAATTTTTTATAATAAATTTGAATTTAACGTAATAATCATTTTTCAAATCATCTATCTACTTGATGTGACTTTTTTATGCAGTTGAAAAAAGCACAAGCAAAGTTATTTGCATTGTTAGGGAGTGCCATCAGTATAAAAACATGACTTCGCTCGCGCTTTTGAGAACTGCATAAACAGTCGCGTCTAGTGGTTAGATGGTTTGAAAAAATTCCTACATTAAATTTAAACTTATTATTGAATTATTGCAAGAATCGTTATTTTTAACTATAATTTAAACAAATGAAAAAAGAAACTTGTCTAAACTGGCACGTCACTTAGGCCCTCCAACATGGCGTTGGAGGCCTCACTTTTTTCTGTACCAGGATTGGCCAATGAGCAATCCAGCTATATATATCGGCGTGATTTGACATCACTATGACAGTGTGGATTGAGCACAAGTCAAAAATTGTATGTCATGTATGAATTTGTGTATGGGGTGGGTGAGAGTGAATATTCATAAATATGACAGAGTCTGATGAGAAATTACATTTACAACTTTTCACTTTACAATCTATTTAATAAAGGCTATACACAAAACAAGATGTTATGGTTAACTTTTACAATGGCGTATTGTAAAAACTTTGATGACCAAAGTGACCCAATTTAATTATCTATTGTTTTTCAAATTTGCTGGTTTTATGAGGAATATACAGAAAAGCTTTACAAAATGTACATTTTCATTTAATTACTCATGAAAAAACATATTTGCCAGGGCAACATTTTAAAACCTTTTAGCCCATTGTTTTTTACAAGTACCTATTGCATTTATAAACAATTAGTGTTTGAATAGTGTAGAGTTTGGTCTCTTGCAAATTATAAAAGCACAAATCATTTGAAAGGTTTAGCAGAATGCATAACAAAAATATATTTCAGTTAATATCTTGGTCTCCTCTTCAAAATTACTTTTGTCTTTATATGAATCATAATTTAATATTTTAAAAAGAATTTATGTCACAATTTGAATACACCTCCTGAATATTGCTGGTTGATATATCGAAAGCATGTCTACACCGCTGGGGTCGCAAGTGTCCCGCTAGTCGTGTTGGCCTTTCTGCACACCCGCAAGTAAGCATAAATCTCCTGGAAAAACACAAATTTGCGACACTTGCATAATTAATATCTACAGTATTGTCAATTCTCTCCCGGAAGTCAGTGCCATGAGTATCACTACACGCACCAAAATAAAATTAGATACGTTAAGATACAGGTAGTTCACATATCTATATCTCATAGAAGCGGCTTCTTTCAACTTGGGACCCCACTGTTTGTAACATACATACATGATTGTTCTAAACCTTTTTTAACAAACCATCTTCATCTTACACCACTTTAACAAATATGTTTATTTTATACAGTAATTTTATATCCGAGGCATGCGTTGTTAAACACTTTAACTACAAGTTATATTACAACAGAAAATTAACATATACGAAAGACATTAATATGAAATGTAAATTACATGTTTCATTTACATATTTAATATATTGACTTAGAATTTCAGAATTAACATATAACAAAGTTAAAATTAATTTATATAAATAAATTAATGAAAAGATCTATCAGCTTGTATATGTCAATATATTTAATTTTAATAGGTTTTATAGGTTTTTATCATTGCACCAGGCAAGTTTGTATATATTGGCAATATCCATCATAAATGAAGTTTATCTGAATAAATAATCTAATAATTACCAAAATAAACAGCAGCCAGTGATTGTAAGAATACTTTTATTTAGAATTTATTACCTATTGTTCTTATAATGATTTCATATCCTGTAAAATCTGCACAATATATTGCAATTTTACAGGCAGGTGATGTAAATGTAATATAAGCTATGACAGTTGCCTTATGACCTACAGACATGCTATTTTAAATAAATTATCTACAGAAGGAAAGCCAAAGGTTGGTCACATGACACAGATAAAAGGCCAGAAAACTACATTTACATTGGTCCAATGTTTGTTTTGGTTTGTATAGTGATATAGTGAATTATAAGAGTCCTACAAATGTTTCTTAAGTGTATACTTCAAGCACTGTTTTCATAATTTATTTGAGGACTTTATTACAATGTATTGTGAAGCACTATTTATTCTAACAACTGTCATACTGTCATATGCGATCAAATGCATCAATGCTAGCAATAGTCTTGATATTACGAAGAAGGCTACCGTCTGATTTGCTACTAAGAGCACTAGCTGCAGAGTCTGAATCGTCCCCATTGCTCCTGCTATCCATAAATGGAGATCCATGTTTCCAAAGGGGAAGGGTTGAGTGGGGTGTCCTGATGTTATACTACAAGAACAATCAAACATTAGATTAGATTTTCATACTTCCTTTTTCATACTGCCTCATGCTTGAGTATAAATATAACAAGAGAGCCATACTACTCCCATTTGTAAATATCTCACTCTGCCAGTTACGATGGAAGTTGCCACCGTTATTATGGAGTGCACCCATTATGTATGAGTTCACAGAAAATGGTATGATGATAAAGAAAAATAAAGAAATCTACCGCTCTCTACAAAAGTATTGTATCATGTCAAAGATCTTTAAATAAAAGGATTGCGTTCTCAGAGATTTCTGCATGCAAATTCTGTAACAACGTGGTGTTGGGCACCCTCTTAAAATTACAATTTTTACAATTTTAAAAATTTGACAAGCGCAAATTCTGTAACGCCCTCTCTCAATTACAATTACTTTTTATGCTTCTTTTTACTGAACATCGACAATTCTACTTGTTCTACATGGCAGACAGTGCTATCTTGTTATAAGATCTTTGTATCATGCGTAAAACAGATAAACAAACAAACCACGTGCAATGTAGTACTGGGTAATCCATCGGCAGCAGGCATACTCCACTGGCTGTGTATGGCATATAGTTTGTTTATGCTCTCAATGAATGTAGTAGACTCTTCAATTTATACTTTTTGCCTCAAATAAACCTAAGCATTTTCGAAATGTACTAAATCTTAAACCATTCTACTCTACACAAACAAGTGTTTAACGGCACATACTGCACCAGTCCCCAATTTTATCAATTTTTGTTACGTCGTGGCTAAAGATATGGTACCGTATTTCTACTTCCATTTGCTGAAGGCACGGTAAATGGCATTACGTCACCTTCACCCAGTGAAGTGCCAGAATGTGTGTAGACGTCATTTGTCAAGAATGTGCATTGCAGACCACCGTGATGAGTGGTGAAATCTAACGATGTAAGGGTATATTATTAGAACATGATATAGGCAAAACGTACAATACTGTATTATGTTATCGTAATAGGCGTATGGTTCCACTCAGATCAATCTGTGGTGGCATCAGTCATAAACATAATTCCTCCATGCCAGTTCTCAACCCCCAAAATCTCATCCCAAGTGTTAGTCCAAGAAGCCTAGGTTATAATAATGAATATACTCGAAATGACTACGCTTTATATATGCTTTTGATGCAGGCCCATTTAAAACATTATTACAGTATATAAAGTGCTAGTGGGCCTATGAATCCTCTTATTACAGTTCGGGGTATATTCAGTATTTTTAGTGCAAGGTTTGTTGTTTAAATAGACCAAAGACTAAGCAAGGCCTGAGCCTATGTCAAGAGTTTGGTCTTGAGGATTCAAGCTGTGCTTTATATGGTTCTAGATAAATGGCATGACTGAGTGGAACCCTTTACACCTATATATCAATGAGAGTATTATAAGAAAAATACTGTACTCTTTGCCTGCAATGCTAATGCCGGTCTTGAAAGATGACGTCACACATATTTCTGCACTTCAATGGGTGAAAGTAACATAATGCCATTTATCGTACCTTTAGCAAATGGAAGTAGAAATATGGTACCATACCTCTAGCCACAGCATTTTTGTTACCATAAGTACAGTAAGTTGAAAGTGGAAGGTGATATTGGCAATCAAAGAAATATGCAGCAGAAAAAAAGAAAACTAATTAATAATTAATTTTTAGTATTTTACTAATTTCCACTCAATGATTGAGGTTTGGGAGTAGTATTTTACGAAATGTTAATAAAAACACTTTTTGGTTTCTTCTTTTCGTATACCCCTTACGATTTTATAATCACAATCCTCAAGCAGATTAAGAAAAATAGCCTGTTAAGTGTGGTGTAGCAGCAGTCATTAATCATAACCAACTAAGAAAAAAGAAATTTTATATAGACTACTTAAAGCAATTTGCTCTAGACTAGCTGTAGGCACAAATTTGACTTACTTTAACTGCCAGAGTATTGCATAATGGAAGCATATGACTTATACAGGCCAGTAGGTTCTTGGTCTCCTGGATACTCCCATTTACCTTTAAGTCAAAAACAAATGTTCTTGGGTAAATGATTAGCAAATAAAATTATTTTAAGGTAACTGTCAATGAAAATTTTAGAGGCTAAAAAGCTACAATAAGTCCTCAGGGTGCTAATTTTCAAATATCCAGTTTTCAGCTTACACTATTACACCCTCTATACTTACATTTGCTTTTCCATTTTGATCAACATAGTTATATAGTATACATATTATAGTGCAAAATATTAAATATACAATGTATAAATAAGTAATTTAATAAGGTATATAGAATATGATAAATTTATATATAATGTATATGTATAGCAAAATCTCTTTATACAAGTCTTTGGGAGTGGAACGCAAGACAAGAATCATCAGAGCTCTACAACAAAGTGTCGAAATGGGTTGGGATGTGCAGTTGTTTTTATTCTAACTGAAACCAGGATCATGGATTTGAAAACTAGCACACCTCTACTCAATAAAAGGACTCTTAATGGTGCAATGAATTCAACTTACTTTTGCAAATGTCTGGATTTTACCAAGTGATGGTGATTTAGTTGTGTAATGGAGCTGTTGGCATAGCGATGGTAAACTCTGAAGATGGTGCACCAGTTCATCAGGTAGAAGACCTCTTTCTGGTATCAAGCCACTAAAATCTTTAAACACACGGAACAGTTTATTCCCTTCCTCAGCAAAATACTGCAGGTAAAGAATGATAAAACCCTCTTTGTTAAAGTTTTATGATGTATTGATTACTTTACCAGCAACTACTACTAGATACTAAAATAGTCAACTAAAATGACAGTCAAATAATTTGCACACTGGGGCCAGAAAATGAGGGTGTTTGTTTTTTTTTGTGCTTTCAATCCTTCGCTGTGCATTTCGCTTGTGTATTTGAGCCAGTCATTTTATTTACAGTATGTTGCTTTAGTCTACTCAGCTGTATCAATGGGTATCAGCAAATTGCTGGGCGCAATATGCGGTGGAATAACGTCCCGCCGAGGAAGAGCATCACACTCATCCGCTTCACACTACTTGGAACTGGGAATAAGCTCCAGTCATATGGGCCCTTGTGGCTCGGCAAGAATTTACGTACTTTACTACATAAACAGCGGTGGATCCAGAAATTTGCCAACAGGTGGGGGGGGGGCCCACATGTTTGACAGGGGTCCAAACCAAGGGGCCGACTAGAGTCTGGGCTTGGGTCCCAGAATAAAAAATCTATGTAGGAATTACAGTGAGTGTTTTTATGGCTTAGTATACTTAGTACCTTTAGACCACAACATTAGGGATTGGTATTCAAAATAACGTTACTTGGATAGGCAAATTATTATATTTTTGTTATTGATCCGACGATCTTGTCGTGGCGTTGAATGACTGGGGACAAATTCCCCCTGCCCCCCAAACTGGCGCCACCACTCTACCTAACTCCTGCATTAAGATACAAATTTGAATAAATGCCAGTGGCAAATCAAGGGTGTGGAAAAAGAGTGCAGCAGCCAAAAATCATTTAGATACAATATAAGATATTGAAATGGCTGAAACTCTGAAGCTTACAGGCCACATAGCAATAAAGTAGTTAAAAGAACATCCTAAAAAGCTCCCTCTCCTGCCCCACCACTGAATACATAAATGAATACCTCTGCTTGTTTGAATAAATCCTGAGTGGTTTTCAGAGGTCCTTCACCTCTTGTGAACAGATACATAGAGTATGCCATACTGGACATGTTCTTGGCTCGTTTTAAGATGTCATTCTCCGCATCCTCCCATTTGTCTGTTTCCACATCCAGTTCAGATGTCATCAACTTTAACTCTAGTCCAAGCTTAGCAATTCTAGCTTGTTCCTAAAAGACAAATAAATTCATTTATAAGCATAGTAGAACCCCTATTAAGGGGACAACTTTGGGACCAAAAAAAAAGTGTCCAATGAATAGCGGTGTCTAATGAGTAGGGGTTGGCACTAGTGTTCAGATATACTTTCCCTCATTTTGTGTGTGTCCACTTAATAGGGGTGACACAAAGGAGGGATTCTACTGTATACATCATGTTTGATAGATTAGTGAATAATTTGTCTTTATTACATTATTACTTTTTCATGACAATATTTTTTGCTGTATTTAAATTGTACATTTAGGCATAGCATACTGTTAGTTTATCTTTTGCTCTATGGTCATCAATCTTTTTGATAATTAAATTATTACACCTTTTTTGTACTTGGCCCACATACAAAACAGAACTTTTTACTGATAATTAAATATAAAACAAGAAATAAATTCAAATAGTAAACAGCTTGTATGAAAACAACAAGCAACCAAACTCATTCAGCACTATGCCTACACTTTTCACAGTATTTAACCATTGTGAACAAAGTTCATCAAAATTTGTATGCTTGTTTAAAATACTAACTTATTTTCAGGATTCAAGATTCTATATTCGTGTCCTTTTGGAAAATCAGTTGGTACATCACATCGCAAAACAAAGTGCAGGATTAATACAAAACAACAACAATATAATCATAATTAGGCCCTAAAACTTACTTAATATTTTGATTTATTTGTTCATTTTCCATTGTAGGAATGTACTGCATTGGAGAAAGTATGCATTAAAAGAAATTTGGACTGTATATTTTGTTGGTCTGCCTAGAATTACACTGGGATTTAAAAGTTCAGAGATTGAAATACACATTCAGCAGGTTTAATTTTATTATTTTAATGAAATCCATTAGAAGTAATTAAAAAAAAATTTTAATGAATATAAACGACTTTGTTGGGATCCGCCATCCCATGAGATGTAGTCATCAATTACTGTAAATTCCAACGAGTATTTCTAATTATATGTTTTTTACCATTGACTTTATAAGCGAGCCGCAATTCTTGGTTTCAATACAAAAAAAATTATGTCTGATAAAAGTCAATGTTATAAGATTAATAAAATACAACTGATTCTTTTAAACACACTAGTAAATCCTAACTATTTTGAAATTGAGGATGTGGCATTTTGACATGTTTAAATCCGGTGGGAAAGATTTTCATCCAGCACATAATGATGGCAAATCCATCTACTGGAGAACACTAAATTATACATAGAATGTGTAAAAATCAATGATATAATGAGAAAGAAGGCATTTATCTTCCATTTAATATATATTGTATTGAAAATGGATACTATACAAACAAAAGTAAGGGCAACTAAATAGCCATTTTCAACAGTAAACAAACAAAATTATAAAAGATAGATAAGATAATTATAAAATTATGCAATGTTTTCTGTTACCAAAGTTTATTTGTTTCGTTCAGTTGAATGATATTATTGATGAAGGAAAATAAGTGTGCTGGGTTGAATGGTCTTGTTTTGTAATCTAAGTGGTGTAGTGTCTGTATTTAATGGAGTAGAAATATTTAAAAATATTTTGATGAATGAATCATATATATCATAACTATTATTATTATTATTATTAGGCCTAGCCTTGACAGATTAAACCGCTACTACTAGGCCTAGGTGCCTACTGCCGTCACTCTGCTCTACAGTACCTACACCGTGTAACCGAGCAACCCACGTGGTGCATTCTTAAAATATTACACACATTACTTAAATGTATTCACGTGCATAGGCTTAGGCCTTGATTTAGGCCTAAGCATAGGTAGTTCTCCATGGATAAACACAAGCTTGGAAGTCGTTATGTACCCGACGGTTGGCTGCCCTTAGGTATACTTTGCCGCCAGTTCACGCCCAAAGGGTACACTACCAGCTAGCTGGCTGTCGTGAATTTAGTACCTTCATGTAATCGTCATACATGAGGTGATTCACCTTATGTAGTCGTCGTCATACAGCCACTGCCCTGCATCCACTGCGTTAAAATAATGAATAACAAAATACGAAACACACAATGACTTTTGCAGCTAGACTACCAATACAACAACACAAATAAACTTTGCATGGCTATGGATTGGCAAAAAATGGAGCTCGAACGAAAAAAAAACCGATGTATTTTAGCAAGTATTTGAAACTTTTAAATGATTTTAAGCCTTCACCAAAACGGCTAAAAGCAGTTGGTTATTTTTTCACCAATCCAAAATAGTAAGGGTCACTAGACAGGGCGATACCCAAGACATTTGTTATCGCCCGACACCAAAAAAGGTCGCCACTAGCGACCGCTAGCTTCTAGCCCTGTATTATTATTATCACTCTCATTTAATTGTCTTTTGCTTTTTCACATTGTTGTATTCAACCATGAAATTTCCCCATAGTGGGATGAATAGTGTCCTTACCTCTGCATCCAGCTTTACTGGTCTAGAAGATTTCATTGTTGTACCATGTTTCTGTAAATCCAAAATTAATTAAAATAATTAATTTTTGTTAAACATTGAGTTATATTAAAGTCAAATATAAATTAGATAAACTACTAAAGTCTGGCTATTTTTAAAATAAGATACAATTTGATGAAATTCAAGATAAAACATTGAAGGCTATTGAGCATAATATACTTACACCTGGTCTTGGAAGGGACAGATAAACGTGCTTCGTATCTGAATGAGAAAAGTATGAATGATTTGAGGATATTGAATGTGTTTGTCTTAATCTCAATCTAATCCGACAGAAGCAGTTTCCAAGGAGATTAAAGCATATCAGTCTTAGGAAGGCAATTCAAATAAGATGGCTAATCTTTATTACAATTTGTTTTTATTTTTAACATCAAATATATATGCTATCTAGGTCAATGCTGAAGATATAAAACTTGCTAGACAGTCTCTAAATTCATGTTTTAAGTGTTAGATTATAACAATTTTTTGGCTTCAATATAGTATCAAATAGAAAATCTTTACAAAAGCTATGTTAAATATTTATGTCCACACACAAGTAAGGAACCAGATGCCATTTGGTACAAGCATTATACTGTAACTAAAATGTTAACAGTGAGTTCTTAACAACAAGTGTGAACGTGGTTGTAAAATATAAACATAATCAGACAGAACTGGTGATCGTAAGGAATGAGCACATTGGGTGGAGGAGTAAGCACATGGGGTGGAGGGGCTATTTCTATGTTAAATATTTATGTCCACACACAAGTAAGGAACCAGATGCCATTTGGTACAAGCATTATACTGTAACTAAAATGTTAACAGTGAGTTCTTAACAACAAGTGTGAACGTGGTTGTAAAATATAAACATAATCAGACAGAACTGGTGATCGTAAGGAATGAGCACATTGGGTGGAGGAGTAAGCACATGGGGTGGAGGGGCTATTTCTCACATTATTAATGTGTATAATTCACAATTATGTAATTTCTAAATAACCTAACAATATATTGTAAATTATATTGTACAATGTAGACAAATAAATATTACTATCCTTAACTAACACCAATTTAAAGCAGACCACTTAGAGATTTTTGGTGGACATGAAATGTGTGTAATATCAACGTTTGAGTACTTACTTCCTTTGCCTGTGCAGGTATCAGTAATTTCTTTCATAATCGTATTAATCTCCTTCAATTGCGCATGCCATGCATTGTTGAAAACATCCACATTTTCTTTTGCAATTTTGCTAGTAGGATTAATTGCTAAAGTTGTGAATGCTGTGACAAGCTGCAAAAAATATAATTTTAAATTATAAGAATATTAGTGCTTTAAAAATGTTCAATTTATAATGAGAAAAATACATATTTTAATCCCAATTCTGATACCAAAACCATTCTTACCACAGATAATGTTCCTTTTGATTTACAAACTAAGAAGTAAAACATTTGTTAAGGCCTATAGAGTACTACAGTGTTACGTCATGATACCACGTGATACTACTCCGTTGCTATCGTTGCAGAAAGAGTTCAACCAGATGCCATTTTCCCCACTGACAAACAATTGATCCCAATTTCTAACATAATTATTAAGATGTTGTATCTTACTTTTTCTAGGTAAATTTTAATTGATGATTAAATGTGCGTTCGATAACTAATATAATTCAAGTTTTTGTGTTTTTAGTACATTTTGATGGTCAAATATTAGATTCTAAAATGCCTATTCCAGAAAGCCTATGAAATCATGCAGGCGTAATGAACGGTAACCGACGTGTGGTTGGCGACAGAGGGCGCCACCTGGTGTTGTGACGACACGACTGTGGTACTCTGTGCAATAAATTAGGATAAATATGGGATTTAATTTTGAATGAATAAACCCCTCTAAACATGGAATTTATTTGCAATCTCCTGAAAGTAATACCATAGTTCCTCGGGTACCACCTCCTTCTTTATGCCAAATGTTACATATCAGCCTTTACTCGGGCAAAATCCCAGGGTATGACTTTAAAGTGTAACTTAGCTCTCTTTCACGAAAAAACCCCCAGAAAATAATCAAAATATTGGCTTTGAATTAGGCATGTGCTGCTGAAATTGCCTTTTGAATGAAAAATGGTTTCCGCTTGGTATTGGTCAAACCCCTACCCCCCACAAATAAAAAAAAAACCAAACCAGCCTAATTTTGTATTAAAAGGACTCTCTAAATATTTGTTAATTTTACATTTTCAAAAAACATGTTATGAAAAATTTAACATTGTTTTTTAAGAAAATGGTTATTCACTGCTATTCGGTACTCATGCGTGCCAATAAACAAGGATAATTACCTGTGGTGACAACTTGATCAAGTTGTTCTCTGCATTCTCAAGACTTATAGCAAGCGGAGGTTTGGATGAAACATGTCGCATCAGTTTACATGCCTAAAAAGCACAATTTATTATGTGAATAACATTATGTAGTTGAATGTTACAAAAACCAAGGATGAGAATTTCTGTACATTGTGGTTAAACCATTTAAATGAATTCTCAAAATTCCTTTCTTTAATATTTCACAGCCTACAGTATGCAGAAGAAAAGATGTTAAAAAAAGAATAACAAGTGCAAAAACAGGCCTTTTTGTAATTCAGTTTCAAGGATATAAGAATGCTTATCAAATTTAACTGGTATTTTCCAACATATGATTAAGGTGTATTACAATTCCAGATGTTTACCACCATTTGTCATTTTCAATACCTTACAACTCATTACATCCATACTGATACTGCATCGTTAACTCAAGCTATTGAGTGTAGCATTCTGCCCTAAATGCGGTTACAGAAACTTGCACATGTAACCTAGAAGCTCTTTCTCATATGAACATTGTTAATGTTTATGTAAAAATTTGAAAAAAAAAAAAAATTATAATAAAAAAAATACAATATGTGTATTATTTTACATAACTCAGTTGCCAAGTGTCAAGATAACAAAGAGCATCCATTGCACTGATCTGGTACATTACTGCCATTGCTAAAACTGGGATTAAAAGGGTATAGCAGCAGTAAACTCAACAGAGATGCTGTTGTATTTAATTTTTGTTTCCATCTTTTCAATCGTTATTACCGTATTTAATATATTTTTCATCAAAGTAATTTACCTCTTGTAGTTGTTCGGAGTATTGCATGAGTTTTTCTGCTAGACTGTCAAGTCCGTCAATTTGTCCCATTGTTGCTGCCTCCTTCAGCTTGTTCGTCAATCCTTCATGATCGTTACCCCTAAAAATCTCCTCTGCTTGGCTTAACGCTGTCATTTGAAGCTATTAAAAAAAAAAATCCAGTAAAAAATTATATGTAAAAGGACATACTTTACTTCTCTACGATTTCTATACTCATTAAAATCTTAGATTACAGAAATCATTTGCTTTTTTCTTCCATCCAATACTCCCTAATACACATAATTATAATATATTAAGGTTTGAGAAGTTATAAAGAAGCATCAAACATAATTAGCTTTCATATTTGTTTCCTTACCTACATGCAGTGCATGTTAAGTAACATTCTTATAATGTCTTAGGCATTGGCACTTGAATGTTATTCTTTGATGTTTCAATCACATCCTAAAGCAATAAGAAATTACATAATAATCAGTTTCATAATTAGGATCAATGTCATCATCATCTAGATCAATATTATAATCATCACTAGAATCATCACAATTACTAGCATCAATATCATCATCATTATCATCTAGATCAACATCAAAATAATGTAGGATAGATGTGAAATCAATTTTACTTTCTCATTAACATTCATAGAAAAGAGACAACTGCATTTCATCACATAATGTATAGATAATTATGCTCTGATTAATTAACGTAAAATGTGTTCAAAAGGGATAACTTATTCATTTTTTCTGAGGAAATAGGTCAAAGATTAGCTCTTAATATCAGCCAGAAGTGTTATCTTCAATATCGGAAGTTGAATTAAAAAAAAAAAAAAAAAAAAAAAAAAACCACCATAAATTTATGTACATTAATAAGAGACTGGTCCATTCATCATTTGAAATTGCAGAGCACCCCTTACTTAAAAAAAAATATTATTATTTAGTTACTGTTAATGAAGTCAAGAACTTACCCAGAATTAAAAACATAGTGAAAAAATGCTATGATAGAAAAAATTAATACCATTTACTGAAATCCAGAAGAACAAACATCAGCAATATAAGGTTGGATATTAGCAAAAATAAATAAAAAAAAAAACATTGAACAATTAGAGTAACATGCCCTAATATCAATAATACTCCATTTTATTGCATTCACAAGGTTGTTTGTAATTAAAGTACTACTTCATTTAAAGCATATTAAAAAAATATGGACTAACAGTGCATGGATTACCAGTAGATGAAGTAACTATAGATTGCTTAGCACTGTGGATTTATTATGCATGGATTAACAGCACAGAGATTAACAATTCATGAATAGAACAGGTTGAAATTTGTTTGAATAAAACTAAAAAAAAAAAAAAATCCCTGTGAGGATCCATGGTTCCTACTGTATACAGGCAATGTGCAGTCGATGAAATACATACACAACAGTAGTTAGTCTAAGTTTCTGAGGACAAACAGGAACAATTCCTATTAATATGTGCATAACAATAAAATAATACGCAGCTAGTGAAATACAGTAAAACCTTGAATTGAAGCCCAGTGGGCTTAATCTCGAGATGAAGCCCATCTCAAATGGAAGCCCATGGCCTTCTTTTCAAGATAGCGTAGGCTTCTTTTTGAGACAGTACAGTACAAACACTGTACATGAATTTCAAGTAAACAAAATAAATTAAAAACAAGCTTGGTTTATACAGTAGTTTTGTTGATTGAATGCCATTTAAATACACTTTATGATATAAATTGATGTTATAGTGGCCTTATTTATTGTTTTATAGTACAAATTCACAAAATTTACAGCATTCATTTGAAAAGAAGCATCCCCCCCCCCTTTTACTTTGCAAAAGTAGCCTCGAAAAGAAGTCCATCTCGCAAAGTAGCCCATCATGAAAAGAAGCCCATCAAAAATTCGCTAAAACAAAAAGAAGCCCAGGGCTTCAATTCAAGGTTTTATGGTATATTATATAAAGTTAGTCCAGTGAGTGCTACATTCTTATTACTTGTCTAACCTCTGCACAAATATACTATACTTGTGGATACAGGCCCTGACCTCTAATTTAACTAGTAAATGTATAGCTAACATGTAAATACCCAATGGTCTATTCATTACACAATGAATAATAGCAAAGATGGGAAGGGAGATTGATTTATCTTGTTTGGTTTTAATATTCATCAGAAACAAAATTACAAGAAGTTTGATCACCAAAATTCAGAACTGTGTGTACAGTTTTTGAGTTTGCTTGTTTACGATGTCAGACATGCACACATAATTACATCCGTCAAGTCCAATACAATGGTTCCTATGCTACTATTCATAACAACCAAAAAGAAAAAGAGAAAACTAAAATAATAAATACCTGTTTTTTGACATCGTCAATTGTCTTTGTAGCTTTTAGAACACTAGTGTCAAGTTCATCTTCATACCTCTCCCAGTTACCTTGCTCCTAGTAAATGCAACACAGTTTTTAATTTTAATTTTTTTGAATTGTATGGTGGAGACTCTAAACATCAGTGGCATATCTAGAAGACTTGAAATGGGGGTGCTGATTGGGGGGGGGTTGCAAAGGTGAAGTGGGGGCTCGATGATTAGTTGAGGGTTGCTAATTTGCAAAATAAAGTGATTTTAGGTGATTTTTAACTACTTGATCATGATTTCTGGATTTCTGGGGGCCGAGTAATTTTTTTGGGCGACGTGCGCTCCCCGCACACCCCTAGATACGCCACTGCTAAACATGCTATGTATATAACAACTGCATTATAAACAATGATGTGCAACTAAGCCACCAATTGCAATCAATGGTGGAACAGTGTTCTCAGAAGAGGACAACCAGTGCAACAAGTAAGTAATTCAGGCTCTTGTTATAGCATCTTAATATTCCACATGAAACTTAAAAATCTGAGCTATAGCTTGGTTTTCATTATGTTCACCTTTGAATCTGAGAAGTGAGGTTGATGGAGTGGATTTTTACATGTTCAACTTATCCGTAATTCATTTAATGTGACTTAATACAATTGTGTGAGTGAAATAACTAAAAAATAATACACGATATTGAATGTGAATCAAATAATTACTCACAATACGTTTTCCAACTTGAACAAGATGGTTAACATCTAATTTTGCTTTTCCAAGCAATTTTAAGATCCTCTCCCTTTGTTCATGCTGAGTGTAGGCAGAGTCCGTAAAATCTTGAGTAGCATCGACAACTAAGCTCAATGTCGTTACCAGTTTATCCTGTGTGTTACTTTCTGCCTGAGTTATCTTTGATGTTTCAATCACATCCTAAAGCAATAAGAAATTACATAATAATCAGTTTCATAATTAGGATCAATGTCATCATCATCTAGATCAATATTATAATCATCACTAGAATCATCACAATTACTAGCATCAATATCATCATCATTATCATCTAGATCAACATCAAAATAATGTAGGATCATTCACCAATATGAAGATTAACATTATCATCATCATCTAGAACAGTATCAAAATCATATAGGATCACCACTATCATGAAGATCAATAGAATATCAACATTATCATCTAAATAGATATTAAAAACATACTGAAGGCTGATCATCATTATCATCAAGATCAATACCACCATTATCATTATCATCTACATCAACATCATAATCACCACCATCATCAAGGTCAATATCATTATCAATATATTTTAGATAAATATCAAAATTATAGGATCATCACCACAATCATGATCAAATCATCGTAACATGTTCACGTATGTAAACAACATGATGCTTGTATATTAACTAGCACAGGAAACAATTCAAAGAATCTGAGCCTAAAGCAAGTGCTGAACGGACAGATTTACAGTTTTAACGCTTTCCTTCATCACACGGTAACGATGGAAACATTATTGATTCAAAAAGGATCTTTGTTACAAATGACTTGGTCCTACATTTTACGTGAAAAATCTGTTTTGTGTTCGCAATCTAAGAACATTGACCGTGTTCTCAGGCCTAGCTTTTAAACCTTGCCTTATCTAATGAAATTCTACTAATACATTTGGATTACACTAATCCATTCCAATTATTTATTCAAGATTTTACTAATCATTCCAATCTGCCTAATCTACAGTCTTGACATTTAACTATCCATAAATTTTATCAAATCCAACCAAATTTTATTAGTCTACATTAAATTTTGAATCAAATAACTATCTAAAATATTTATTCATGTCTCACTCTGTTTGAATTTCATTAATTCTTTCAAATACAGACACCTATTAAAACTTCATCAATTCAATTAAAAGGCATTAATTCACTTTAATTTGATTCTATAGTAAAATCTCTATTATTCATTCTAATCTATATCATCCATTAATGTTTCAATACTCTTTCAATTTTACTAGTCCTTTCAGATATCACTAATCTACTCATTCACCATGTGATGTGATTAAAATGAGAGTAATGTCAAGTGGAAGGGGAATGCAAGAAAATAGTGCCATATTGCCTCCCCACATACAGTAGTTTAAATACTGCATGTACTTTTTTGTCAATTTTCCTAGAGAAAGGTTAGTTTTCAGATTCTGGAATCAACCTTACATAAATGCACATAACCTAAAAATACTCCTCTCCTTCGAAAGGATTTGGTTACAAAACATTACAGATGTTAATTCATCAGCTTTTCAATAATATAAGTTTTGTATTAAGAAGGTGGTAAACAAAATAATGATCATCCTTGCTAAATAGATAATTTTACTATAAAACATGTCATAAAAATAGGCTCCCTGCATGTGTCTATGCTCTATACTGCCTTACTGTAGGCCTATTATGTTTACCAATAAAAAGTATCCACATGGGATTCGGTTATAAGGAAATGTGTTTTTAATTTGTGAACATACGCATAGATCGGCGGCACTTAAGGGTGGTGCGTTCAACTTAAATACAATACAATGAGTCACTTAATAATTACTGTACACTTGATACTAATGAAACATAAATACAAACTTTAAAATACCTAAAATAAAATTGAGAAATTTGGTAATGAACTTAAAATAAAAATAAATTTTTTCAGTAATAAGGTACTTAAGATGACACATGACCCATCATGCACCTCCACCGGATTTACCCTTTCAGCCATCTTTAACTGCTAGACGACAACATTGTGTCTTTGCCCCAGAGGCGGCATAGAAATAAAAATAGACATTGGAATTAGAGTCTGTGTTAGGAAATGTGAAAAACTACCAAAAAAGAAACCCTATTTCAAAAACAAAAGATATATGATTTCAAATAAAATAATACTTATTTAGATTGTAGAATGTGAACATGTAACTGGCTCCAGAGGCAAAACCTTACATTTCATCAGTAAAATCAAAGTTGATTTTTTGATATTTTAAAGGTGGTTATTTGATGAGAATTAGTGCAATATTAGAAAAATAAAATTTGCACAAGAAGGGTTGAAAGTACCCGAGGGGGTGGGGGCGCTAGATGTCCCTGACGAAAAAAGTGGGCGTGGTCTGGCTTCGCTTAAAATCTCTCAAAAGTGTTTCGGGGGAGGGGGGAAGAAGAGAAATCAAAGTACTGTATTATCTTACATATAATATATTACGTTTATTTTCTCAAATCACGATACAGAACTCAACTGTGCCAAAAAAGTTAATAAAATACATCACAAAACACTACAAACATCTGAGTGGCTGGGGGCTTCGCAGGCTCCAGGCATCTGGCTCGAGGCCTCCGGCCCCTTTGTCCACTGATCCTTAGTTCCGCATTTACAATTTTCACACTCACCCCCACCCATGGGAACCACCCTATGCCCCTGTCATACCATAAATAGTAAAAGCCTGAAATTAGTAAAAATCCTGAATCTCAAGGAATTTTGCCTATGAGCTTGTAATTTGAAATGCCAACAAATGTTGAGGGAAAAAAAATAGCAAATACTTACACGAATTGTATGTAACAGATTGTGAATATTCTTGGGCTTTACAAGGACAGTCATTGAGGAACTATCTGTCAATACCTCATCTAGCATCTGGAAAGCCTTGCGCATCATCTGAAACACACCAGCACTGTTATCTTGTGCTGACACGCAATCTGGATGTCGAATAGATGTCTACAGCAAATACAACATTTTCATAAAAGTCATAAAATTCTTGCAAAGGAATGTTCAAAAGAAATCTTATAGTTACACTTTCACATTTTCCCAGCTGAGTATGTAAATCTATTTCTAAATCTAATACTGTACAGAGTTAAAAATAAAAATATAAAAATAAATGCCATCCCAGTACCAGCATACTATTCGGTACGGTATACGGTAAGAATGGCCCTGGAAAAAATGGCCCCGGAAAAAATGGCCCCGGTAAAAATGGCCCCAAATGACAGGTAGTTAAAAATGGCCCCAATAATAAAATTCCGTATTAAAACTGATTTTTTTAAAAAATCATTATGCATTTTTTTAACTGAAATAATAATTTGGTTTTTAAAAAGGAATCTCACATCAAATAAATTGCCATTTACATTTTACATTTTGCAGGAATTACATATTCAATGATAAAACTATCAAAGATACACAAAAAAAAAGCCATGAATAATACTTTTTATTTTTTTTTCCATTTAAATGTTAAAAAATAGCAACAACATAATCAATAAATCAACATAAATCATGCATTTATTAATACTAAAATAATTTATTTGTGGCCAATTTCACGGAAGCGGAATCACAATTTTCCAGAAATTCAATCCGGGTATTGGTAAACCCCACAAACAATGAGTTTATATGAACATCAAATTATTATTATTTTTTTATTAGAAAAAGAGAGTTTTACAATCATAATTAAAGGGTTTGGATGGGGTTCGCAGTGGGTATGGAGGTTTGTGGTGTATTTGCAAGTATTTTTTCACCAAAAAAAAATTAACATTTTAACCAAAAAATAGGTTCTTATGAATATTTAATTTTCTTATTGATACACCAAGTGAGTCAATCACAACTGAATTGTTTGGTTTTCTACAGTGTGTTTTGGGAGGTTTGTGGGAATTAGAAATACGAATTAATCCTACCATAATTACCCTACCCTCACAATTACACGCCATTTTAATTCTTAGCATAATTGCCATATTTACATATGTATATATATAGTATCTCAGTTTACATTATTTAGTATAGTTTTAGGCACTTAAATTTAATTGGCAGGGAGTAAAAACCAAGTATGCTATTAAATAAGTTGCTTAAATAAATGTAGGCCTATTCCTAATTATTCAGTTTACTTTAAAAACAATATTTGATTAACAAATACTTC